TCTTTCTCTTTATGATTGAAGTAAAGATTTTCATTATTACATTAAGACATGTTATTGGTATATAATTCTCTGCTTTTTTGCTATCTCCTCCTTTGTATATTAGAATAGTTCTTCCTGTTAACATTTCTATTGGAATGTTTTCTGGAGTGTCTAACCATTCATTAACACTATAACTAATCTGTCTCTAACACTCTCCAATCTTTTCCAGTAGTATCCATGAATGCTGTCAATCACTGGTGCTTTCCATGATGGTATTCTTGTTATCACATTCTCTATGTCTTCTTTTGTGATTATTATTCTTTTCAAATTCCTTCTATTACTCTATTCAATCATCTCTTTTATTCTTTCATTCTCTTTCTTTATTCTTTTTCCTCTGTTATATATCTTATTCAAAACTCTTTTGTTTCTTCTTCACATCGTCTTTCTTCTTCTCTTCCTATTTCCTTTCTTATTTCTTTTTTTCCAGTAGTACTCATGATTTTGTTTCTGTAGATTCTTGTTCTTTTACTTTTGTTTAAGTCTACTTCTTTTTTCGTCATTTCTTTTAAGTATTCTAATTGTTTTATTTCTTCATTTACTTCTCCCCTTATCTTTTCTTCTATCATTCTTCTTATTCTTAATATCCTTCTTAATTTTTTATAGTTTCCTCTTATTACCATGTCTTTTAGTTTATTTATCATGCTTTGTATTACTACTTCATATTCTTTCTTAATTCCTATGAATTTGTTTTCTAAATACTTCTTTATTATGTATGTTATTCGGTAAATGTCTTCTTGTATCTCTTTAATACTTCCTTCTTTCCATTCCCATTTTTCATCAATATATCTTATTATCTCTTCACATATTTCTTTATTGAAATAATATCCAATGTATATACACTCTTTGATTTCTTTTCTTTTACTTTTCTTTATTAACTCTTCTGTGTATTCTACATCAATCTCTTTTTTCTTTTTCTTTCTATTAATCTCTCTAATCTTTTCATTTTCTATATTATCTTCTTCTTTAATCACTTCTCCTACTTTCTTATTAATGTATTCTATGTTTTCTTTTTTAATCCCTTTACTTCTTTTAACTATTTTTATATATTCTTTGATTGTAATATCAATATGGTATGCTTCTAATATTCTTTTTATTTCTTCATTTCTTCATTTCTTTTTTATTTTAATATTCATTATATTAATTCCATAACAGACATATTCATTCTTCTTTAATTCTGTTTCTTCTCTTCTCCTTGTTTCACTTCTTCCTCTTCTTTCTTCTCTTGTTCTTCTTCTATTATGATCATCTTCTTCTGTTCTTTCCCATATTATATTCATCGTTTCTGTCACTGATGATGCTCGTCGTATAATTGTCTCTTGTTCTGTCTCTTTCATCCTTATTCTTTTCTTCTTCTGTCTTTGAAAATTTCTTTCCTCCTCCTCATCTTCTTCTTGTTCTTTAAGTAATTCTTCTACGTCTATTCCTTTTTTTCTATTCCATTTATTAGTATTTGTGTTTTCCTTCTTTCTTTCATTAGTTTATTTTCTATCATACTTTTATCAATTTGTCCTTGTAGGTATTTGTTCTCTATTCCTTCCTTCTCTTCTACCTTTTTCTTCATTTCTTCTTTTTCGTTGCTTTTCTTTCTTTCTTCTTTTTCTATATTTTCTTTTCTTTCTTCTTCTATTATCTTGTCTTTTTCTTTTTCTTCTATTTCTTTGTCTTTCATCTTTCTAATCTTCTCCATTTCTTCTTTAATCTTGTCTATCTTTTATTTTGTTTTCTTTATTTCTTCTTCTCTCTTTTTGTTGTTTTCTTTTATCTCTTTCTTTTCTTTAATCTCTTGGATTTCTTTCTCTTTTTCTTGTTTCTCTAGTTTTCCTTTAAGTGTTCTGATTCTTTCTTCTTTTTTATTTATTTCTATAGCATGTGTGCTTTTTAGTCTTTCTATTTCTTTCTCTCTCTTTCTATCTTCTTCTTGTTATTCTTTTTTCTCTCTATTTTTCCTCTCTTCTTCTTTTCTTTGTTTTTGTATTTCTTCTTCTTTGCTTTTTATCTTCATTTCTAACTCTTTTTTTCTTTCTCAAATTTTATCTTCATTTTCATTATCTCTTCTTCAAATTCTTTAGTAATTTTTCTTCTTTCTTCTTCATACTTTTCTATTATTGTTTGTTTCTCTTCTTCTTGTCTTTCTTCATTCTCTTGAGTCGATTTTTCTTGTATTATTTTTTCTTTTTCTTCTATTTCCATTAGCGTTTCTTCTTCTTTCACCTCTGTTGTTATCTCTAATTTCTCTTTAACTAGTCTCTCTAATTCTTCAAATCTTTTCATCCATTTTTGTATTGTTTTTGTGTTTTCTTCTTTCCTTTTATTCTTCCATCCTTGTCTTTTCTTATAACATCCTTTATTCTTATTTCTTCCTCTTCCAAATCGTTCATTTCGATGATAATACTTGTTAACCTTTCTTCTAGGATTGTAATAATTTTGGTTGTAATATTTTCTGTAATAATCTGAGTGCTCTAGTGTTCTGTTGAAAGTGTTATTAGGGTAATAATATTTCTTATAGTGTAGTTATTGAACATTTTATGATCATCATTCTTATAGTCTCTATTGAGTTTTTTGATTCTATTTCTTGTTGAGTACTTTTGTTGATAACATCTTCGTAACATTCCAATTCGAAAAGGATGTTATTTAATAAATGAAATGTAAATAATAAATGAATGATGGAATATATGAATAATAATAATAAGCAATTAATTAAATATTAATAGAACTAGCTTCTAGTCTTCCTGCCTCAGGGGAGACTAATCCCGTCCCTTCGTCTTCATCTTCTTCTAGCAGCTCTACGGAGTATGTTTGATTATTGAAGCAATATTCCATGACATCATTCATGTTTTGTATTACAATGTTTTTTACTTCTTTTTCGATGTCAATCTCAATTTTTAATTCTTTAATTAATTTAATACTTTCTTTATTTATTAATCCATTTATTGAGATTACTACTGGAATTATTTTGACATTTTTTAATTTCTCTATTTTATTCTTTATTTCTATATCTTTTCTTCATTTTTTTCTAAATTAATATTGTTATTTGGGTATATTTCTTTTTTTATTTCTTCTTTATTTTAATTTTCTTGTTAGAATCAAACATGATTTTATTTGTATTGATTCTGACCCTTTCATCTTTATTAAATTTAATTCTTTCTTTGATCATAGTCATCATATATTTTAGGTACTTTATTCTTTCTAGTGCTTTAACTTTTATTCCTTCTTCATCATGTTCATTTAATTTCATGATGCACTTTATTCTGTACCATTTCCTTCCCTTGACCAAATCTTCTAGTCTATTGATTTTCTTTAGGATTTCTTTTATTTCATCAAATTTATCTCCTATTATTTTATTTTGGAGATAAAGGTGCATAACCATTGAAATATTCTTCATATCATCTTGCAGATAATCCATTCTGCTTCATGACAATATCCATCTATTATTAATTTCATTTATTAATCGGTCAACCTCTTTTCTTTGAAAGTAGTAATTAATGTTTGAACATTTTTCTATTTTCATTTCTTTTACTTTATTGATGAGAGTGTTAAGATATTCTTCATCAATTTCTGTAGAATTATTCTTTATTATGTTTTTTCTTTATTATTGAATTACATTCTACTCTTCTTTCTATTATATCATTTATTTTCACTTTAATGTATTGTTTAGTATTTTCTTTTATTTTATGTGATATTTTAATATATTTAATATATTCATTTTCATTATTGACATTGATATTTATTGCTTTTATAATGCTTTCTATTTGTTCATTTCTTATTTTCTTATATAATTTCTTATTTAATCAATTAATTGCAAAACAATACAATACTTCAATTAAATGTCTATTTCTTTGTTTTGTTATATTTATTCTTGTACTTTCAATATACTTTCTTTGTTATTTATTATTCTTGCAATTTTACATCTATCATTCATTTCTTTATTTAGACTTTTGTTTTTAATTTCTTCTTCATTTGTTTTAATGTCTTTTCTTCAATGTCCTTTGTTTTTTTCTTTAAACTCTTCTTTCGTCTTTTCAATTATCTTCTTCATTTTGATTGAATGTACTTCTTGAAGAATGTTATACCATCTTTTCCTTTTACCTTCCTACTTTTTGAGTATTTCTTTATATTCTCCTTTATTCCATTCCATTGTTATTCTTTTTATTCTTTCTTGTATCTCATTTATTGTTAGCCATTTGTATTTGTTATTTGTATAATCTTTATTATTATTGTATTTACCTTGTTTCTTATTTATTTTTCTTTGTGTCTTTCGTCTTCTAATCAAATTTCCTTGGTGTATTGTTTACCTTTATTATTATAATTGTTATGCCATTTATTGCTATTGATATTCATTTTTTATTGTATGACCTTAGATTTCTATGACATGTTTGCTTTTCTTTACAAGACCCTAAGGTTTTACACAATAGCCATGGCATTAAAATTTGTTGTATTTCCTGCATTGGAAAAGGATGTAACATGATGGAATAGATGAAATAATAAAAAGAAAGATAAATAATAAAGAAATATGATGTATTTAATATATAATATAATTTATTATCAAATATAATAATAATATCAAATGATGATTTATTTTTATTTCAAAATATTTTGCATCAATAAAATATGTTGCTAAATATTTTGCATCATTAAATTTTGCGCTTTTTTTATTGTACTTTTTTATTTGTTGAAATAAAATTTGCATCCTTTATTTTTTTTCTTTCTTTTCTTCTTTTATCATTTCTTTTGTTTTATTACACTTTATCTTCTTTATTTTTATATTCTCTACTTTTATTCTTTCTTCATCATCATCTACTTCTCACTTTATTTTTATTCTTTTATATCATTCATTCTCTTCTTTTTCAATTATTTGCTTTTTTTGTTGCCTGCAATACGTATTAGAATTGGTTAATGTAAATAAAGAATTGGATTATATAGTTACAGAAAATGGAGAAAATTTCTCACTTGGAGAACGTCAAATGATTTGCATGGCAAGAGCATTATTAAAGGGAGCTAAAATATTAATTATGGATGAAGCAACTGCATCAATTGATATTCAAACAGATATTATGATTCAAGAAATGGTTAGAAAGAATTTCAAAGAATGTACAACATTAACTATTGCACATAGACTACATTCAATCATGGATTCTAATCGAGTTATGGTATTTGATGATGGTCATTTAATGGAAATGGATACTCCAATTAATTTGATTGAACAAGAAACAACAATCTTCAATAATTTGGTCCAACAATCAGGATGTGCTGAAGAACTTAAACGATTAGCAAAAGGAGAAGCATCTATTGCTGAAACATTAAAAGCTGAAGATGAAAAAAAGAAAAAACAAGAAAATGAATCATCAGACTCAACTGAAAAGCCAACAGAGTTGATTGACTTAAATACACCATCTGCAAGTCCAATGCCACTTGATGGAACAGTAACCAATAAAGATAAATCCCCATTACTCAATTTAAATACACCAATAGTAAGTCCATTACCACAACATGTAAACGATAAGAGTGAATCGGTAAGTGAAGGTAGTAACAATTCTTCATCAGAATAAATTGATTGGTTTTGTTTTAATTAATGGTTTATGATAAAAATAAATGCAATTTCTAAAGGATATTCATTTTTTTGTTTTTTTTGTATCATGTTCTTATTAATTACTTACTTTGTTTTATTGTTGACTGAAGAAAATAAAACAAATACATACTGACTCTAATAAAACATTTCCAATTAATGATAAAGTAAAACAAAAGAATAATAAGATAGAGATGGAATTTTTGCTTGTTTCTAATTTGGGAGAAAAATAATTACTTAATTAACATTCTCCAATACAAAGATTGGAAATTGGAGGGAATGATACAGCCATGAGTAATTTTAATACATTTGTCTCAGTTTGTGTATTTATTAATCAATAAGCAACCATTGCAAACAAGAAGAAAATATTACAATTAACAAAATGGAAGTTGAATAGAATGAGAAAAATTAATTAAAAATGTCATTTGGAGTAGCTGGGAATTGATAAACATCATCTGTGATTCTTAGGTAAGAATTAATATCCTCTTTTAATCCCTTTAACTCAATGTCTTTGATGTAGTAAATTCCTTGTTCTTTATCTTCAATTTGATATACGTCATCATCAATGTTATATTCAGTGATATTATAGTCAACATAGAGACTTATATATTCAATCTGTTTTTGGTATGTAATTATCATTAAGTCATTTGTTAATACCAATTCCATCTCTTTCCATTCTCCAATATATCCTTTAATCTTTTCTTTCTTCATAACTTTTCTTCCCCATCCAAAAACCCCTCTATTTAAATTAACATCCCAATTACCTCCACATGTCTGATTTAATTCTTCCAAATAATTTATTTTCTTCTTTGATTCTTCATATTCTTTGATACCATTATTTCTAACACATTTCAATCCTTCATTGTTGATACACATTTCACATAACATAATTTCTTCTTCACTAATAATTGTTCCTTGAAGACATTTGAAATATTCTTCCATTATTTCTTTATTGTTAATACATTTCTCATAAACAACCATCATTGCTCTCCCCAAATACATCGTTGATTCTTCACTCATTATAATATAATTCTGCCATCCATCTTCAATAATGACTTTGCAGTCATTTAGAATATTACCATTCAACCTTCTTGTTTTTAATAAAACTAACATCTGTTCAACAGCACGTAGTCTATGTACAACACAGTGGATTGCTTGTTCTTTAATGAGAGAATCTATTTTATTCATCTTATTAGCAGATTCTTTAAGTTCTTCTTTTAATTTATCAAAGAAAAGAATGTCATCCCTTTTCATTTCTTGTTCTTTTACTCTTTTTTGGTTTCTACTTGGTTGTAATGGAATGCATGACGTTGATTTTGTTTTTCTATTAATTGGTTGACATTGAATACAATTATGATAACTTTCAACTACTTTAGAATGTGTTGTTGAGATAATAGGACTTTCCTTTATCTTCACACTTTTCTTCTTCTCTTTTTTGTTATCTTTTTTCTTCTTGTCTTTAACTTCTTTTAATTGTTCTTGTTCTTGTTTTAATCGTTCATTTTCTGTTTCTAGTCTTTTCTTTTCTTTATAAAGTATTTCAATTTGTTTTAATGTCTCTTCTTGTGTTTCTACTTGTTTTTGATTGTAAGACTCTGTGTATTTTGTTACAGGTATAGAATCTAGATTATCCACTTCAGAAGAATATGTTTCTGTGCTTCTTGTCTTTGACTCTTGTGTTGGTAGAGGAGGTAATGGTCTTCTTATTGTTTTTATTGGTTGGTTGAATTGAGATGATGAAGTTGTTTTATGGTGTTGGGGTTGTTGCATTTTTATTCGACACGTAGATTGTTGTTGGACTTGAAGGAGATGTGCAAAGTTCAGTGATGGAGGAGGATGTCTTGAGTTTAAATCAACTATATATTGGTTGCTCATTCTACTATTTTGTTTGTTATAGTCATAGAGTGTAAAGTTATGATGACAAAGAAAGTGAACAAATTCTCTTTCTTAATTCTTCTTTCTTTTACGTTTTGAAGTGTTTAATAATAAAATCATTCAATTTTAATTTTATAATGGAAATAATAAAATAGAATATGATTATTTGAGATAAATTATGTCTGTTTAATGTTATATTAACGTAAATAATAAAAAAATCACATAAAACACAATAAGATAGTATCATCTCATCATTTTATCTTCTAATATAATAAAAACATCTTATTTTATTATTATTTGTTAATGTTTTGTTTCCTACTCCTCTTTATTGTAGCCTCAAATGCAAAACAATATCATATGTGTATGATTATGTTAGGAGCACCAAAGGAAGTTCCAATGTTGAATTATTCTGTTGAATATTTGTTAAATGCATATGAAAGAAAACCACCAGAAATAGTGATAGATCATTTTTACTTTGTTAAAGGTTGTAATCATTGTCCTCATCCAGAAATGGAAATGGCTAACTTTGAACTTCAAAAACATGGGATAAATTCTTCAATTGCAAATTTTGAGCCATTTAAATGGATTCAACCATCAAATATTTATTCTTTTGAAGAAATGTATCACAGCTTGTGGTCTGAAGATCAACGTGCATACCGTAACTTTGGTCATCATAAAAAAGATAATATTGTAACATACTACTTCCATCAAGGTGCACAACTTGCTCTTAAAGAATTTAATAACACTGATTTTATCATGTTCTTTGAAGATGATCAATCAATTCATAGAAATTCATTTGTCTTTCTCAAACAAGTTTTTGATTCTTATGGTCCAAGAACACTTACTAAATATGCAACACCACTAAGAGCAACAAATGATGGTTACTATGATCCTAATGTTGCATGTATTTGGGGATGGTGGGGAACATTAATGTCAAATCATGAACTAAAACGTTATTTATCTTTTATTAAATTTAATCCTTGGACATACTGTGGAGACATGCTATTTTGTGACCTTGGAAGGTTGATAGACCAACCATTTTATTTGAGAAGAATGGCTCGTCATTTTGGTAGAGATAAAGATATTATGCCAAAAGACCCTGACTATTATTAATGATGAATTAACTCATTTATATAAATTTATTTAACAAGAAAATTGATTTTACTTACCATTCAGTCAATTCAGTTATTCCTTTATTTGCAAATAATTTACTTTGAATTATTCCAACTACATCTTGTTTATTTTGATAAGGAAATGGTCTTTTCATTGGTACTTTTTCTTCAATGATTCTCTTAGATGTTTCCCACCCAAATCTAACTAAATTAGGATATCCAAACAATGGGTCATATTGACATTTCATCCATTTTATTGTATCTACATCTATCAATTAGTTATATATTAATTATATATTACTAACCATTTTTTTAAACACTGAAAAATAACAAACCACTTGGATATCCACAACCAACCTGTCTTGTTTGAATATTTGTTTCTTCATAAATCCAATTATCAAGACAAGTATCTCTTGTTACTTTAGCACAAATACTTGCTGCACTAACAACTGGATATAATCCATCAGCTTTTGGACAAACAGTAATTTGACTTAATTTAACTTCCTTAAATTCATTTGCAATCATCGCTTGATATTTTTTAGAAGGTCCAACAGTATCACAATAAATATGTACAATTTTACGCTGACTTGTTCTGATGATTTGATGGATAATATCTCTAACTGCACTAAATGCTATTTCATTTAATGAAACCTTTTGAGGACCACACATCATCTGACTGATATAACTTGGAGTGAGAATTCGTGTTGAAAATCCACACACCCCACTTTCTTTTATATCAGTAAATAACTTCTCTCTCATCGTTCGGGATAAAATTTTAGAGTCATGAAACCCCATGGTACTTATAACTTCTGTATTAGTAGTAAAAAATGCACTATATACCATTGGTCCTAAAACAGGTCCTCTTCCTGCTTCGTCTATTCCAATCGTAATTTCTCCTTCTGTTTGAACATTTTGAAATAGTGGACAAAGCATTTTCAATTTTAGTTTTTTTTTATTTCTCTTAATGAGAAGATTAAATTACTCTTTTATATTAGTAAAAAAACTATTCCTATTAAAAAAATTCAATTCACAGCAATTCATTTTGTTCATACTTTTATTTTTGATTCGGTAGCACATGCTTCGTTTTTTATGTAATCAAAAACTTCTGTGTTTGAAATTACTGTTCCATGCTCTCCTTTTCCTAAATCTTTTACAACTTTAGCAAACCCAGGAAGTTTACACCATTCCAAAGACTGGAGGTCAACAACTCCATCTCCATCTCCATAAACGTAACTAACATCTTGGAAGTCATGGTCCAAGGAGTCATACTTAATTCCAACAATTGTTTCAATACCATGAGAATATAAACAATGTAATGTAACATTATTTGGAACATATTCCAATGGAAATCTATTAATGCTTGAGTTATAAATAATATTACCAAACTCTTTTACTTCTTCAACAAGATCAATGATGGCATTGATGTTGTTAGCGGAATATTTTTTATTTCCAACCTGTACAACATTATCATTTTTCCAATATTTTTGGTTGGGCATTAATTGGTAATCAGATTCCCATGAACGTGCTAATGGTCTTAATAACAATGGATCAAGTTTTAGTCCTAAATCTTCTCCTGTTAAAAATGTTCGTAAGGTTTTTGTTGAACCAATGAAAGGAGCATTTAGAGTGATAATTTTATCAATGTATTGGTCACAGAATTTTTTTGACATAGAACTAATTAAATCTAAAACAGCAAGTCCACCAAAACTATGAGTAACAATGATAACTTTATAACCATTATTGTTTACTAATTGTTGGATTAGTTGAGTTGTTTTTTCAATCCAGTTATTATTACTTCTATCTGCATATCTCCAGTCATAACCAGGAGAAACTAAATCAACACCATCTTTCCATCCTGCAGCTTTTAGGTCATGAATCATTGCAGCAAATACTTTAGTTTTTGATTGAAGAAGTTTTTGGTTATCTGGTGCTAAAGCAAAAATTCCTTTTGTAGATGGAAAGTTTGGATAATATATATTAGCTCCTGGAATGTTTTCCATTTTGCTAGTAGAAGAATTCCAATATGTTTTCATATATTCAATAAAACATGCAGAATTGTTAAAAGGAATAAGGTCTTTTCTGTTAATCCAAATTTGACCTTTAACCTTATGAGGACATTGAGGGGGTAATTCTATCGAAGTGTCTATATCAGCATCAATCATTAACTGTGAAGCTAAAATTCCACTTAGTATTAGAATAGGTTTTCTTTTTTCACAAGACTGTGCTTGAATAGAACAGATAATATATAACAGTACTATGACCAACATTAACTTCTAGTAGTATTTGTAACTTCTTTTTTCGAGTTTTAACTTTGATTCTTATTTAAAAAAACTCCTTCAAATTTTGAAAACTTCCATAATAAAAAAAGAAAAAACTCCATAAAAATAAACAGCAAAGAAAAATAAAAAACTTTGTAAAATGAAAAAGTGGTTTAAATGAATTAATTCATATTTCTTCCAGTTATTGTTATCAAATGTAAAATCATATTTTGAAGATCATAATCTCCATTCAATTCATCAGTTGTAACACTTAATTTATACTTTAATTTATCATCCATTACCCATGATTCTAAATGAGGATTTTTATTCATAATATAATAATCTCTCAACCCAATAATATCTTGTACATTAAATATAACAAACAAAGATGGTAAATTCATTTTCATTGTAATTAATTCCTTCATAATTTGTGTAGTACAAAATTGAGGTGGATTTCCATCTTTTCTTAATTGATTCCAAAGTTGATCTCTATTATATTCCCAATATGCTCTTAGTGTTTGAGTTTCAGATGACTCAATTAATGAATTACTATTTAAGAAATCATTAGTAATAATTTTTAAATTATTTAATTCCTCATAAAATGCACGTTCACATTGTCCAATATAAATTGTTTGAGAATCACAAAAAGAAGACAATATTCTTTTTCCTTGTTGTTTCCATAGTTGATAATTTCTTCTTTCATAAAATTCTTCAAATAATTTATTTATATTTTCTTGAACAGATGGTTCTAATTCATCATAAGAACTATAAGTATCTTTTATATAAGGAGATGGAATATATTTATCTCCAATTTGATATAATATAACGTTGTTTAATAATTTTATTAATCCGTCAATAATTTTTCTATCTGATGCTCTCTTTTCTTTAAGTCCTGATTCATTCCTTATTTGGTTTTCATTTCTAAATGATGCAGATAAATTATATGATCCATCTTTATTATCAACAAGGAAATTTTCAATAACATAGTCTTTATCTTCACCAAATAATGATGTTAATGTATGATCTCTAATATAACAATATGTTAGTCTATCTAAATCATTAATTCCTCTATAATTTAAGTCTTGTTTTGTATATCCATTTTGTGGATAATAACATCCATATGTTCCATTTTCTTCAACTTCCCATGTTCTAAAGAAGAAAGAAATTGAATCAAATTTAATTATAGGGAATAATGTTTTCATTAATTTAATACGTTCTTTAAATAATGAATATTCATTACTTTCTAATTCATTCCAATTATATGGTATTCCATAATATTTTTTACGATTCATAATATCAACTATTTCTTTATTAACACAAAAGAAATTAGAATTAATCCATGCATCAACAGAGTCATGACTAACACTAAATGGAAGTGTACCAATTAATCCAATATGTTTTTCTTTAGCATAATTATAAATTTCTTTCATTTGTTTAAATAAATTAAATTGAATAAAAATATTAAATACACATTCTTCAGTATTATTTAATAATAATTTTTTTAAATTTTCCATTGTTGGTACACCATTCATTCCACAACATTTATATACAATATAAGGCAATAACCATTTTCTATTCTTTTCAACAAAAATTTCAAGATCATTTTCTCCTTTTTGTTTTTCAAATAATACTGATGTAACTGTTTTATATCGTTCTTTTTCTAAATTAAAAATTAAATGAAAGATTTTATTCTTCCAATATAACACTCGTTTTCTATCTATCCATTTCTCATAATTTAATTCTCTTTTTGCTCCTTCTATAACTTCTTGTATTTCTTTTGTTATTTTAAAACCTTTTAATGATAATATCATTGGGTCTAATGCATTAAGAGAATTTGGAGTATAATAAACATCGTTATAATCATTAATTGGAAGAACTTCTATAATACTTATTCCACTTTTTTCACAAAAATTAATAATATCATATAAATCATTAATATCTCCACATCCAATTCCTTTTCCATTTATTCCACTAATACAAACTTTTATTCCTGCAGCTTTATAACTTCCATTAAATTTAACAATATCCTCTTGATAAATAACAGCTTGTTTACATCCAATAAAAGGTCCTAACATTGGTGCAAATAATCTATTTGGTCCATCTTCCCACACAACTTCTGTTTTTTTCATAAAATATTTATATTCAAATGCCTCTCTAATATTTTCTATTGGAATAGAAAGTTCCCACCAAGACATACCAACAGCCTTCATTTGAAGTGCTTTGTATGTGTCCCATTTACCAAATTCTGAACTTGAACCAGTAACATATATACTATATCCAGAAGGTACACTTTGCCATTTACATCTAAGGATAACAACAGCCCGTGATAAAGGTGAAGGTCTTTCTTCTTGTTTTCTAGAATAAACTATTTCTTGGAAAAATTGTGGAGAATATGGTTCAAATGAATCATTCCATTGATCTCTCATTTCAACTTTAATTTGGTTATTACTAAAAGAAGGAAATAAGTGTGGAAATGTTTCTGTTCTAATAATTTCTGATGATGATGTTTCAACATAATAATAATATCCATTCTCTATTGAAGTAATTTCTATTGTCCAATACCCTTCTTTGTATTCCATTGGAATTAATTCTTTATTAATAGAAACTTGAATGGCATGACCAAATGATGTATTTCTTTGAATGAATAATTGAATTTGCATTGTTCTTTTATTTTGTTTTTTAAGAGTTTTTAGTTCAAATCGTTCTTAAAACTTATAAAGAAACAAAAGAATTTTCACACCAACTAATCCACGATTTTTCCTTGTAATTTTTTCAATCGACCTTTAAGAAGCACTTTCCAGAGCATTCCTTTAATTCTATTTGTACGGAAAATAAATTTGTTTTTCATATAATCTCTGAAGTTTTTTAGATACACAAATTCTTTCTTCATATCTCTTATTACTTTTTAGCTTTCTAGAATTAATCTGTTAGATGCTACAAGACTTTCTTTCTATCTTTCTTTTTAAAGAAGTAGATTTTATAAGATATACTTCCAACATAGTAATTAATTAAATGAATGGTGCAAAAAAAGGTATAATAGAAAAAAAAAATAAGAGGTATGTCTCATTGAGTTATAAAAACGAATATAATGATTTATACATGACAATTAATGATAACAAAATAGCCTCATCATTAATTTTTCATACACCTAACTAATTGATAGAATTTGTTTTTATATAAAACAAAACCAAACAAAAACAAATTTTACTCTGAATTACTTCTATTATATCTTGAGAATCGTATTACATTAAACTTTATTTCTATTTAAGTATTGTACAACGACAATGTTATTTTTAGTATTTTTTTAATTCATTTTATAATATACAAATTATTCTTATCAATTATCAATGTTTGTCTCAATTAAAATATTATCCTTCTTCTTTTTCCGTTTATTTCATATTTTCTTAATGATATTATATATTAGTTTAGTATAAAAAGGTATTTTATTTTATTAAGTTTTCTGAAAGTACTGAAGAATTTTACAAAAAATAAACAATCAAAAAATGAATTAGCATACTTTAAATTATTTTTCATAAGGTTTAAATGCATCATATAATAAATCTAAGACACTTTGAATTTCTTTTCTTGAAGTAGCAATATTAAATCTTCTAAATAAATCAAATCCTTTTCCAAATGCCTTACCTTGGTTAAAGATAATACCTCGTTGACCAAGAAGATCATCAATTTTATCTGAACTAATTCCATACTTAGAAAAGTTCATCCATAATAAGTATGTTGCTTCTGGTTGAGTAATTTGAATTGATGGAAGTTGGTTTTGAATAAATTCTGTAATAAGTTTTACATTCCCTTTTATGTACTCAAGACACTCTTTTAACCAATCAGAACATTCACCACTATAAGCTGTTTTCATTCCAATATGTCCAAATAAATTTCCCCAACAAATAGATAATCCACTTGCTACATGGAAAATTTTTGTTCTCATCTCATCATTCTCACAAATCATAAAGGCTTGTGATAATCCTGGAATGTTATATGTTTTACTTGGAGCTAACATAGTAATAGTTATGTCTTTTGCATTTGGTAATGAGGCAGTATGAAGATGTTGTTTTGTTAATAATAAGTCACAATGAATTTCATCACTGATAATAATTACATTATGTTTTTTACAAATATTGATCATTTGTTCTAATTCATCTTTATCAAAGACTCTTCCTGTTGGGTTTTGTGGAGAGCATAATATAAATGCTTTAACATTTTCAGAAATAATTTGTTGTTCAAAGTCTTCAAAGTCAATTCTCCAAACTCCATTTTTTTGAACTAAACGATTATTAACTACTTTCCTATTTATACCTTCAACTGATTCAAAGAAATGTGGATAAGATGGAATTTGAAACATTACAGAATCTCCTACATTTGTTAATGAAGTTAAAACAACAGATATTCCTGTAACTACTCCTGGAGATAATATCATTACTTCTTTTAAATGTTCTTCACTTAATTCCCATCCTTGTTTGCTTAAGTATTGTGAAATAATTTTATAAAGGTCTTTGGGGATATTGGAATATCCGTATATCCCTGTCTCAGCTGCTTTTGTTATGGCATCAATAATAACTGGACATGATGGATAATCCATATCAGCAACCCAATGGGGATGTAATGGAACATTCTCATTAATAGGGTATGGACGAACAGCATATTTAAATGAGTCAGTCCCAATACGACAAGGAAGTGTATCAAATTGGAATTTACTCATCACTGGAATTTAAAATCAATCTAAAATTTTGTGTTTTTCTTTTTTTGCTATTTTTATGGATGTTTTTAAAATAGAATTGAAAAATACTAAATATAACTTTTATGAGGAAATGATTATTATAGAAAGAAATAGAAGAACTAAAAAATAATAAAAAAAGATGAAAATAAAAACTAAATAAATAAAAAAATTGAAATTTTTGTGATAAGGAAGTGGTTGATTTTTAAAAAAGACTAAAAAATAAAAAATGAACTGATAACTGAATTTTTTATAATATCAAAAACATGAGAGGATTATATCTCATTTTCTGTATACTTTTTGTATATACCACTGCCCATTCACTTGAAGAAGATTTTGTTTGTTTCTGTTCAAATAAAGAGTTATTTTATGATGAAAAAATAAAATAAAGTGAGAAAATAAGATTTATAATATAGGAAATGGATGACTTTGAAGATTCATTATGGGACACATTGAAAAAAAAATCACAGAACTTATTAATGAAGGAAAAAACACTCAACAATAACAAGACTCAAGTCAATTCTACTCAAAATAATATTACTCAAAGTAATGTCACTAAGGTAGAAAATGCAACTAAAACTAATAATACTTCTATTCAAGACCAACGATTTTCTACTGTTGTAGAAAGTGTTATTAAGGGATACGAAAGAATTATTAACTCTACACAAAAAGAAGTAGAACATAAAAAAGGAAAGTTACAAGAAGAAGTTAATAAAATGAGTAAAGATGTTACTGTAATGAAACAACAATTAATTGATGTAGAGAGTCAGATTAAAGAAAAAATTAAAGAAATTGAAGTATCTCAAGAATCTATTAATAAACAGCAAACATCACTTTCAGTTTTTGAAGAACAATTAAAAAAGAATGGAGAAGAAAAAGACATTAAATTAAAAGAACAATTAGATAAAGATTTAAGACAAACTATTCAAAATGCTAAGAAACAAAAAATAAAATCAGAAAATGAACAAAAAAGATTAATTGTTCAATTACGTAGATTATATAGACATAAGAAAGTATTATTAAGAGATATTAAAGACAAAGAGCAACAAACTTCTCTCCTTACTAAAAGAGTAGCACACATTGAAGAACTTACAGAATTAAAAGTAAAGAATTTACAAAGAGTAGTTTCATGGATGAAGAAAAAGTTAGAAACAAGAAAACTTTATATTGCCAAGTTAGAAGAAGTAAGAAAATCAATTAATGAAACATTACCATTGCTAGAAAGTGAATTTACTACACCCAGTAAAAAGATAGAATTAACTGAAACTATTAATCAACTTAAGAAAGTTCGAGTTGCTACTATTAAACAAATAAAGAATTTAAGAATAATGTTAGCAGCTCGTGTTGCAGTTTATAATAAATCTAAAATAGTAAGAATTGCATATGAAACTCGTAGGGATAGATTAAATGCACAAGAAAAGGAATATAGAAAACAAGCTAATACATTAAATAATAAAATTACAAAATTAAGAGTACAAATTAATGAACAAACAGCATATTTGAAGAAACAAACTGTTGAAGTTTTAAAGGATATTGCTGCATCAAAATTAAGTGAGTTAAGAGGAGAATACAACAGCAATGATAATGAAATGAGAAAAGTACAACGACGTTTATCATTTTTAAGTAAAGCACAATTAAAAGCACGAAAGGACTATGATGAAGATTTGAAACGAATTCAAAAAGAGTATCAAAAAATTAAGGTAACTGCATTTAAGAAAGCTAAAAAAGATGCTATTAGAGAAAAAAGAAGAATGGAAAGAAGAATTGAAAGACTTGAACGTGCTATGACTAATAAGAAATATACTTCAGAACAAAGTAGAATCTTTTCAGAAAAAGCTAAGTTGTTAAGAAAAAAAGTACCAGAAATTAACAAGAAAGTTCAAAAAGCAAATCAACGATTAATTGATGAACAAAAAAGAATAAAAGAGGAAAGAGAGAAACAATATCAACATTTGAAGGTTGTTGCTAAAGAATTAAAAAGTAGAGAAGATGATTTATCAAATGAAGCAAGTATTTTAAGAGAAAAAATAAGCCAAACAAGTAATAAATTAGAAAAATCAGGATTAATTGAAGACCTTCATGATGTTGTTCGTAGATTGGCAACTGCACATGCACGTGCATCAATAGCTATTCGTAGTGTTGAAAAAATTGAAGATAAAATCTTTGAAGAATTGAAAAATGAATTAAGAAGTGAAAGAAAGATGGTGAGAGTATTAATTAAAAGTAAAGAAAGAGCAACAAAGAGAATTCTTGTTTTAAAGAATCATAATGAATATGCAGAAGTTGTTGAAGAATTACAACATCGAGTTGAAGAATTAAGTCAACAAATTAATTTAAGAGAAAAGAGAGTTGCAGATATTGAAAGTCAAGTTAGTGAAGCAACTAGAAAAAGAAATGAAGATATCAAGATGAAAGTTATTGAAGTCAAAAGTCATTTAAATAGATTAAGAAGTCGTAAAGAAGAAATTGCAGATGAATTAAATAGAATTTTACAATCATCTAAAAGTGCATCAGTTGAGGAACTTAAGAAGAACACACTTCGAATGAAACAATTAAAACAAGAATTAGTAGTTCTTAACAATGAAGAGAGTAAGGTTAGAAGTGGATTAGAACAATTAAATAAAGTTATCTTTATTCGATCTATTGATGAAAAAACTGTACAAGCAGCACGTAAATCAAGAGAATTAATTAAAGCAATGAAAAAGAGTTCTAAACGAGTTAGAAAGTTAAGAAGTAAATTAGTAAATAATAAAAGATTGATTGAGAAATTATATAGGTCTGTTCATGAAACAGGAGACATTATTTCAGAAAGAGCAGAAGATAAAATGGAACAATTAAAGAATGTTAGAGAATTAATTAAAAATAAATTAAAAAAAGTTATGCATGAACATAAGAAACTTCAAAATGCATTATTAAAACATGTTGAAAGAGTCAAACGATTATCTAAATTCAGAATACATAATTTCCAGAAACAACATGCAGAATTACTTAAAAGAAGAAATGAATTATTAACAAAGAAGAAGGAAATTAAGAGGAATAAAGGAACAGAATATTTCTATACTCAAATTGACTTACTTGATGAACGTATGAATGAAGTTTTAAGAGATGAAAAAATGTATAAGTTAAGACTCAAAAAGAGATTAAATAAAATGGTTTCAATTGCTAAAGAATGTGAAAAGAAAACACCAAATGGACTTGAAGGAATTAAAGTCAAATGCACAATGTGTAGAAATCTTGCTGCATTCTTGTTACAAAAAGTTAGAAGAGATCGTATGTCTCCTAAAGAAGTAATGAAAAAGATGTATAACAAATGTGAAAGCTCTAGCAATCCTGCATTGTGTTTAAGAACATCATTAAAATTAAGTACAGTTGCATTCCAAGAAAAGAATAAAGACTTAACACCAAAAGAATTGTGTTACAAAGTTGGTAGATGCGTATTACATGTTTAATTGAACATGATTTTTTACTTCTTATATTGTTTCTTTTCAGAAAACTATTTTTTATTAGGTTTAAATTCTAAACGAAAAATTGAAATAATCTAATATTAATTATTTATTATTCTCTTATTTCTTTGTTCAATAACTGTTTATTGAATTTATTTCAGTATTATATATTATTAATGAGGATAGTTCATGTTAGTTATTGAATTAATTAAACAGACATATAACCTGTTATTTTTAATTTATTTTGTCAATTAACTTGATACAACATCGACTGATACAATAAAACATAAATGGGTTTAACACATATCAACTACACAAGAATAATTTAATTCAACAATGCCAAAACGCAGTTGTTATTGTAATGACTTTAATATGGTTTTTAGACAATGAACAAGCTATTACAAAAGGAGAAGGAATATTTGATAGGATGGATGAAACAGAAAAAAAGAAGGAAACAAGAAATACTACAAAGAATGAGAGAAATTAAAACAATAGAAGAAATTCACCAAATAGAAGAATGAACAAATAGAAAAGTAGGAAATATACTATTTGATTCAGATATTGATGATTGGAATAAAACTAAATCAGTATTCGATCAAAGAATAATTAATAAACAACATATAATAATTATTATTGAAGATGAAGATGGAAATAAATTTGGAGGATATGTTAATTCTAAAATTGATAAAGGTGGTTTTATAAATGATTTAAATCATTTATATTTTCATTAGAATCAAATGGAAGAAATGAAGGAATGATGAAATTTGATATTATAGAATCACAATATGCATTTTGGTTAGATACACACTTGGATAATTTGTTGTTTGGGTTTGGACATTATGATATTAATGTTCTTAAAGAAAATGATAAAACAAAATCATTTTGTAGTCAATTTTCCTTTGAATATGAAGGAATAAGAAATGCACTTTGTGGAAAAGAACTTCAAGAACATTTCAACCAAAACGAATTATTGTAATTGAAATGAAAAGATCAATCTGGAATAATTGAAAATGAAGTAAAAAAGAAATAAATAATAATTATTGATTAAGACTGATTCGTTTGTTTAAAATACAAGTATAAATATATATATATTAACTCAAAAATATATAAATTCAATATCAAATTAGTTATGAAAATAAACAATAATTTCTGATATTATATTTATCTTTTATAAATAAAATATGTAATATCAACAGTCTGTGTTTTATTTTATTCAACAATATCATTATAAAATAAAGAATATAAAATAGAATCACCTTGTCATAATATTTAATCAACAAACGTTGTTATAAAAATAACAAACATAATAATAAATAATAACAAGACAATATAAAAAGAGGATAAACAAAAATAATAATAACATAAGTGGAAATATAAAGTAGTAATGATACATGAAATGATAAATTTGAATAAAAATATAATAAATAAGAAAGTAAAATGATAAATAAAATATTTATATATAAAGAAATTGATGATTATAAATAAACAGTACATTTATGAATAAACATTATTAATATAAAAGGATAAT